CAATTCAGAATTGACGTGCTTTTTGGGAGGGATATGGAACGGTAATAAGTTGGGCATCTAACATTGCTTTAGTATGACACTTATATTCTAGCTTATTTTTAAATAGTGTAATAGGACAGAAAGGAAAAATTATTTAAATGCAGCTTTTATATTGGCTTTCCAGGTCCTTCTGAGTTGAATCAGGGAGACTAAAACCGAACTGCAGTAGAGCTGCCAAATTTGCTTTAAGTGTGAACTATAGGTTTTATATCAGGGCAAAAACTTTCCAACTTTCAAAATGTAGGTATTATTGTCTCTCTAGTATTAGAGTAGCAAAAAGTGGTTGCTGATGCAGAACCTGTTTCAGGAGATGAATTTATAGGATGAATTAAAAAAAATACAGATTTGCAAAATAGAGACCTCTTTGGTAACATACATTTAATATTTTTTTAATCACCAGCATTATCAATGTCCTTGTTTTCTGATGATAAAATAGCACAGATATTTATTACAGATCTATAGAGCCTCCTAAAATGTTAGTGATACCCTGATTTGGTATTTTTTTTCTAAAGCAGAAAAAATAGCCAGAGTTTAATGATGTCCGTGTGTGTACATAGCTGTCAAAGTTATGATTACTTAGTGTCCATTTCTCTCTGTAAGAGCCTGCACCCTGAAAATTTCTCTGTGGTGGGTTCTTTTTCTTTTTTTGTTGCTAGTGACTGTTAATATTTATTTTTCAGTTTCGTGGTAGAAGTTCTCTGTAGCAAAATTAAATTATCATTATTATGTCCCATAAGAATATTCAGGCGAAAGGTTGACCTGTGTTTTTGGAGGGAGTTCTGCTGTAAAAGTAGCTCCATCATTCTTGGTTTACATAGGAAAAATGAAGGCTCGGAGGTGCCTGTACCATTTTTAACCCACAAGTACCCTTCTTACTGACATTAAGAAGAAATCTTCAGTCTTAATTAGTGATTTGTTTCCTCCAGACAGGTTTCATGTTGGATCTACAAGTCTGCAGATTTTCTTTCAGTTCCTGTACCTTGTGCTTTGCCTCCATTTCTTGGTGTAGTACCAAGTTTCACATTGTTATTGTGGTATAGGATTTTTTTAATACTGATTTCTCTGAAACAGTTGTTGCCTCAGCACTGTTTGTAGAATGGCAGCAAGCTGCAGGATCACAGAGGTAAAAACAAGGTTAAGAAATCCTGTTTCATTTTACTTGGTATCACAAACCTTGTAGAATAGTCTGTAATGCATTCTTAAAATATATTTTGTTCTCTTTATATTCATCTAGTCTCAAGAGGGTTTGAAAGCATATTCTGTGAAGAGAAAGTTGTATGCTTCAGTGATTTGTTTTCATTAGCAACGTGAGACTGCCATGATGCAGACATGCCAATATTTTGGAATTGTTTATGAGAAGTTATGAGACACAGATATTGTTCCCCCATATCTTAAGTGAGCTATCTGACCATCAGAGAAAAGATCTGTTTAGAAGTCTTTATGATGGAGAGGACACTATGTTAAGTTCTATATTGACATATCTGGGTAGTCAGTTTATGCAGATCTTTTAGAAACAAAGTTATGAAGGACACTACTCATCACTGGTAAACACAGCAACTTTTATTACTAATTACGTCTGACTAAGACTTCCTCTTCAAAGTAGAATTGCTACATTTACTATATATAGCTGATTAAACACTTTATTCTGTAGCTGCTGCATCTCGTATTAGTACCTGGTTTTTAGTTTATATATTCTATGATGCTGATTGCCTGGTGCCCAGTTAATTACAGTTTTACATGTCCTGCTAGATGTGACATCTGCATTGATCTATGCCATGTCCCCTATGATTTCAGTTTTATATTTTAACAAGGTGACTATGTTTAATTCATACAGATATAAATTTAAGCATTTGTTTTTCTCATAGATATAACGTATTTTGTAAGCACTGGAGTTTTTCATTAGATCTTATACAGAGCAGTATTTTACTAAAAATCCAAAAGGGAAGACTTTTATGTGCGCGTTTTTGTAGTTTCTGATTTTTTTAAAATAACTTTTCATTGTTTATCTGCCAAGTGAAATGTTTTAAATTTGCATATGAATGGATACAGAATGTATTTTTTGTGCTGTTTGGTGTTAAGTGTGCGTTTGCAGATTTTTAGCATGTAGTTGCACAAAGGACTGTGCAAAGATATTTTCAAATATGAATATATGATACACTGAAGGAAAAACATTCATGAAAGTTAAATGCTATATAAAACTTTAATGCAATAGTATAATTTTATAAATTGTGTCTGTGTCTGCTTGGATTAAATATTGAAACAAGAAACATTTATTTTTACTGCTTTATTTCCAAATACTATATGGGACCTTCTGTAAGTTCCAAACCAAAACTTTTAAGATAGAAATTAAATATCATGAAGTCCAGTTTCAGTGATTCTCAGAAGCAGCAACTGCCCACCTCTGAGCTGTTTCTTGGTGGCTTTCAGCTACTATTCAGTTAAAGATGCAAAGTTTGTTGAAAAGGCTGTTGCTCACTTTGCAGTTAAAAGCATTTAACTACTGATCTTTCAAAATTTCTTCCCCTCTGTTACCCATTGGATTTATTAAATTGCTGTAGAAAGGGCAGGAAGATTAATTTCCAGCAAGTTTGGTCCTAGTGGTTCTTAACGTAAGTGCAAAATCAGCTCATGTCTTATAAGTAGGAGGAGCCATGGATACCTGGAAATATTTGTACATCTTTTTCTGTACCTGGAGCAAAACATTGTGCTGAGGTTTTTGCTAGAGTAGGGTAAGAATTGTCACCTCATTTGTAACAAGGCTTCTGAATGAACCGTAATGACAAACTTCACTAAAACCAGTGTAATGTGTTTGAATTTGACACAAATGCCAAGTTAGATTTCATAATTAATTTCCTTATCCCCAAGAATAGCAGATTTTCTTAAATCCAGTATTGCCAAATTAGTATTGATAGATTTTACCCTTATGTTAAAAGAGGGTAAATAAACTTGCCTTTGTATTGTGTATACCATGTGCTGACATTTGTTCTCTTTCACCAGTTATCTCTAAGATTATGTTCAAACTCTACTTGTCTTCTTCTAAAGCATAATGAACACTGTAGTCACGTCAGTTAATTTGTAGTATCTTTGTGAGTTTTTAACTTTGTTAAACTCTGTCTCTTGCCAACTGCAGCACCATCTTTTCAGGTAGAGAGATGTTATTTTAATTCTCATAGATTATTGTGTAAATCAGCTTGTTTAAAGCAACTGGCATAAAGAATGGAGTACACCCTTTGCATGACCAGCTGCTGAAACTTTGTGTAACAATATTCTGTATAGAACATGTGGTTGGTGTATACTTTAAGGTCATATTACTCAACATCAAGATACCAAGATACAATCTCATATTTCTTAAGCTGTCTTCAAATTATTAGTCAATAGACTTAAGTACTGCTGTTATCCTGCATGGTAAGTTCTGCCTCGTTACTTTTCCCATCTCCGTAAATAGCACAAAAGGAAATTAAAACAAATTAAGTAAAGGGATAACTTTAAAATATATCCGTTCATGTGTAATAAATGTTGCATGGACACTCACATTCAAAAATTAAGTTACTTTTGTTCAATTTAGTTTAGTTCATCAGAGCCATGAGAGTGAAGAATCTCAAAGAACGAATGGTTACTTACAGTAAAGGGATTTTTAATTCTTTTTATTTGAGATGTGATCTCCAAATGTTTTCTATAATCAGCCTTCGTTACTTCTGAGAGACAGTTATGTTTTTCTGTTCTGTCTCTGGAAAGGGGACACAGTGACACCAAGGGCATAACTACAGTCTGAATATACACATTCTTGGCCAAAAGAATCCAAATTCCAGGTGCATGAGGACCCAGGAATTTTGAGACTGTAACTGATAAGTATTTTGAAGAATCGGATGTCATTAGGTAAGTAGCTGTTGTTTATTACCGAAAGAATCCATGGCTCCAGCCTCAGTTCTTTATTGCTGCCAATTTTTGACGGGGTGTTTACTCTTATTTTTTTGTAATTTAAAAATTTTTTGTTTCATTTCTGCTTCGAAAGGCGGTACAAATCAAAGAGAATGAAGGAGTTGCCGTGCCATCAAGTGCAAGCAGTAAACCTGAAAGGACAGAGAAGACATTTTTCATTAAAACTTACTTTTTTTTCTTCCTAGTAAAACTTTGTAATCGTTACTGTATCAGCAGTGCTTGATGAAAGTTGATAATCACCCTTAGTCCTGTATTTTGTGTAACTGCAAGAAAAGCAAAGGCTGGCAATCAGAAGCCAAAATGTAATTTCTGTGCATGTAACAATAGCAGTAAATTACTATACTTGCTATATATGTATAAAATTAGAAGTTGTCAACTTCTGTCATTTTGAGGGTACAGGGTGAAGCAAGAACTGTGATTCCATGCAAGTAAGTGATCTCTTTTAGAGTAACCTATGCATGGTTTAGATTTAGCACTAATTTGTGATAGAATGTGATATCTACTATTAGATCCTGATGTTTCTTCCAGTGCGTATTTCTTTGAAACAGCTGAAATGCTCTGGCAGTTGCTGAAACTTAACTCCGCAGGGCAGATGGAGAGCGGCGTAGAGTTTACAACCTCTGAGTTTACTGAGCCTATGCTGAGATCATTTGTTCTTCTAGATTTTTCTGTGGGTTTCCTTCCCCTTGCTTTATTTTTTAACTCTCCTTCTTTCTTCCTCCTCTCCCCCCTCCCAACTGGCCTAATGGCTAGGTCTTATTGAAACTATAATTCTAAAGTGCCTTTATTCCCTGTAGCCTCTAGTATATCCATTCTCTTGTTCTTCTCGTTTCATTGATGGCAGTTTCCCCTCTGATTTTTAGATATTTTTTACATGAACGTTCAGACTTTGCAATCAGTGTTCTTTTAAAGAGCTGTTCAGTCCTGGATTTTCTAGGTATAAATTATCATTCATTACATGTGTATATACAAGCACACACATATATATATATACACACACAAAAATATGGGACTCAGTCTCTTATTTTCTTAAAGCTGCTCAGTTCTATCATTTTTAGTCCATATAGTAATTCCTTAAAAGCATCCAGAGGATGATGGACATTATCTTGTATATACTCCCTGCACATATCCAAATTTAGGTATTACTTGGGATAGGTTAAAAGCACGAGTAAATAATGAAACATTAACATAGTAAATACCCAGTTCTCACTTCACTTAACTTTGGTAGATAAATTCTTGGCTTAAAACTTGATTGTCCTAAAGTCCACCTCATTCTTTGTCTAAGGTTACTTCTGTCACAGAGCTTGCAGAAAGGAAGGACTTCTTGTGCCTCAGACATGATGCAAAACCTCATCTATGTGGACACAGTTTTGATGTGCAGTTGTGTAGCGAAAATGCTGGCTTAACCAGTCTATTACTTCTTGTTTCCACTGGATCATGCCAAACTGTATCACCATATTATGAAACATGTAAAGGAATTAATCTGACTGAAACTCTTTCCCCATGTTATTTTTCAGCCTGCTAATTTGCTGTGGAGCCACAAGAGCAACTGGGTTGGTACAACTCTTAACTGTGTGAGGACAGGATGATATAGCAAGAATGGGACAGCTTAGGAAACATCCTATCGCTGCCTAAAAGTCGGATCACCCATGAAGCTAACAGGCTAGACTAACTGATGTCATTGTGTGTGGTTTTGTCTGTTGACTTCAAGGAGAGTGGTAAATTTTGGCAGGAGTACAAGAGGAACTGCTGAGAATGGTCATATGCTAAATTATTGCAGCAAAATTTGTCAATTTTGGGCAGTCTGTTAGGTTTCCAGGAAAGGCTTACTGAATAATGTATATGAACTGCACCAACCAAGGGAGCAGTAGATGTTAGAGGGTTCTTTCTTTTTTAAATACAAACTGATTAACGGATGCAGAGGTCAGTGCTTTCGTAAGGTTAAAACTTGTTACAGTGGTAGAGCTAAGGAAGTGGATAAAGTGGTAAGAGTTTGATGAAACAGAAGGATAGATGCATCTTGACAAAATACAGTTTAAGAAGGAAAGTTGAAGAAAAAATGTTCTTTACAAGTTATGGATCTTGCTCTAGATTTCAGTAGCTGGAATTGCTGTTAGCACTGCCAGTGGCAAGTTTGATTCAGACTGGAAGCCTGGGGTGAGTGAAGAGGTTCCTATATATCAGACACAACAGAATGCACCTGAGAATACATTAATTTAAAAGAAAAATTACAGCTATTCCAAATACACTTTAATTAATAATTTGAAATTTGAATTAATAATCTAGTCCTAGAAAATGTCATGGTTTTCTTCTAGTAACTGGGTTTACTGGATCTGCAGCACTCCCATCTCTCAAGGCCTATTTTAACCTGGATAATGGGGCAAACCCCTTTTGCTCAGCATCATCCTCAAAAATGTACATGTTGCTGACTGAAACATGTTGTGCATGGTGATGTTGCTTACAAGTATTCAATATATGTTGCTGATGGTACGAGTTTTGCCATTGCTTTCAGAGATGATCTTGTCCCTTATGTTCTGCCATTTGGTTGGTTTTATTTAATAACTCCTTCCTTTGCTACAGCATTGGACAGGTCCCTGGAGTGCCTCCATTCCTTCATTTGGTTTGATATTCCAGTAAAAGATAAGACCAGTCACACCTTCCAGAGAAATAGAGGATTTCAGCAGAGAAGATGCAGAAGTATGGGACCTAATGTTGCGGTGATGGGTATGTGTCCCCAGGTGTGTGAATTCTCTGTCTTCTGAACAGTAGAAATGGCACCTACATGCTCTCACTCAAACAGGAAGACTAGGGTGGTAGTAGAACTTACACAGGCTCATTATCAGTGTCGCAGTGCTGTGTAAGAGATGTGAAGATGTCTGTACATCTTCACTTCAAATTGAGTATTTATTGTTTGTGCTGAGATGAACTTGGGCTTTTATCCCTGTTGGTAATAAGAGAGGGTGACAGAGGTTTGGCTAGACAAAGAGTGCCTGTGTGGGAATGATATTATTTATGGCAAAATAACATAAGCTTGTGCCACATAAGTCATGTATGGACAAGCTATGCATGTCTGAAAACCCATTTCCTCCTCTATTGCATTGTTTTTATCATATTGCAAACATATGTAAACATATGCAAACAAAATAATGTAAAATTTCATAAGCCTCATAAATTGAGCAATTTAATACATGCTATATAACTGAGACTGCACATGAACTGCAACTGTGTGAGCCGGTTGACATTATATTCTCCCAGTGCATGTACAATGTTCCATTTCCAGATGCATCTAAATTCTTAGTATTGCATGAAGAAAATGGCTTATCTTCACTTTCCATGCAATATAGTGAATCAGAGGGGTATGTATTTGTTATATTAACAGGTTGTAAAAGAAAAATGTGCACTTCCATTTTCTTCTGGAGGTTTTGCTTCACCTTCCAGTGAGATGGGATGTATTGATACTGTAAAAACATAAAAGATGTCTGGATGCATTTTCCCAATTTTACTTTAAGCTTCTTACTTTTTGAATGTTTGCAGTGGTTTTAGCTTTTTACACCAGTTGAACACATTGAAACTTATTTGGGGAGCGTTCTTCAGCAGGTCTGAATAATTACTATTTACTGAAACTAACAATAATTAAATGAGCTTGAAGAAGAATATTCAGATACAAAGTACCTACTGCCTTTCTCTAACAACTAATAGCTGCATGTTAAGAGTTAATTTGTCAGGTTACAGTCAGAATATAAAAGTCAAAAGATGACAACTTTTTAATGGGTTGTTGCTTAGCAGGGAGATGTAAAGCAGCCATTCCTTGGCTTTAGCTTTCAAATGCCTTCAGTTCCCTGTGATCCAAACCTTTGTCCCAGTGACCTCTGAGACTGCCATGTGAAGCAGGGAGCCTCTCCTTATGCGGCTTTCGCTGTCCTTAGTATCCCTGGTTTAAAGGTCCAATATCATCAGACTGTTACCCTACATAATATCCTTTTGTTGCTCATAGTGCAACATTTTGTAAGAGAGGCCAAAACCAGAAGCGCAAGGGAATATATATTTTTTTATGGTTTTTGCTTTTCCAGCTCTAATTAACTGAGTAAAGACACATTGACTAATTCTTCTAATTAAATTCAGGTTAAAAACTAAACTCCAGTTTGGGGTTGAGCATCCTGAATTTTATTGCTTAACTAAGAATATTTCTGGTTATTCCTGTTTAAAAAGCACCACCCCATCGAAGAGCCATGAAGGCACATTTCTGGCTCCAGTTCTGTTCCAACAGTAATTTTAAACGTGGTTGCCTCTCGGACAGAGGATGGCACAGGACAAGGACTGCTGATGAAGACTTTGTATAATTATATACAGTTTGTTCACTGATGCTTAATACCTTCAGCATCACATCTCAGGAGCCACCATGCCTGGTTGTCTGCTGTGGCCCTAGTTAACATTTTTCCATGTGTCACACTTGTAAGGGCAAATTGGGTTTAGGCACCACGTTCACTTAGTATGAGCACCGGTCCTGGGTTCAGCTTAAACGGAGATGGCAGCACCATGCAGAAACATTCCGGTGGTACTTGTTGAATTCTGACTTTTAGAAACCTTTTAACCTTAGGTGTTTGTATAAAAGCCTCTTAGTTGCGTTTGATAAACGTATATAAAGCTGCACTGTCTGAAATAGGGGGTGTTTCTGCTCTGTATGTGAGATCCTGGTGCTGAGGGCTCGACTCCACCGGGACCAAAGCCACTTTGAGGGAGCGGGCGCCTCTATCCCCGCCAGACTCGGGGCCAGGGCCCTATGCTCCCGATGTGCCCCTCAGCGTACGTCGCTGCCGCGGGGCCGCGCCCTGCTCAGGCCGCTCCGAGGCGCGCCGGTGGCGGGCGCCACCTGCCAGCCCGGCGGCGGTGCCTCGGTACAACCCGCCTCCTGCCGCCGCGCTCCCCGCGCCCATAGGTCGTCCGGGCGCCCGCCCCACGGCGGGGCGGCTGTTTTCCCACAGGCGGCGGCCGCCCGCCCCCAGTCCGCGCTCCTTGCTCGCCAGGCCGTGGGGGGCGATGCCGTGTGAGCAGCAGGAGAGCGGCGCCGGCGCCGCGCGGTACGTGGTGGGGGTGGACGTAGGCAGCACGGTGGTGAAGTGCCACGTCTATGACCGGGCGGCCGCGGTCAGAGGCTCCAGCAGCCGGAAGGTGAATCAGCGGCAGGGGAAGGGGACAGGGGGCTTGTGGGCAGCAGCGGGCGTGCTTTGGGACTGCGCCTTCACCTCGCCGCCGGGTCGAGCGGCTCGGGCCGCCCTTCCCCGGGCGAGAGCGGCGGGACTCGGCGGGCGCGGACAGCCCGAGGTGGCATTTGCCTCAGGAGCTGTCGCCGGAGGCAGGCGCGGCCGAAGGTGCCGAAGGTGTCCGCTTCCCGGAGCGCCAGGCGGCTTTGAGGAGCGAAGTCCGGGGAGGCGCCGCGGGGACAGCGTTCACAAACGTTCAGGTTTTGGTCGTGTGTGGGCCGGGTGGGATGGGGTCGGCGTCCTGAAGGCCAGCCTGGGTGAAACGAACCTCCCCGACCCGGTTGGGAGCCCCGCAGGGATGCCACCGTTGCCCCTCGCCGCGTTACCTCAACTGTTGTTCCCGCCTGCCTGTCCCTGTCGTATCGACTACTCCCTCTGCAAACAAACCGACTTTTGTTAGTAGGGCACAGCTGAGACGCGAGTAGGACCTGCTCATGTCCCATTTATGTAACAGCACAGTGTGAACAAGCTTTAGCTTTGGAACTTGAATTTCATGCTGCTTGTGCTTTGCATGGCTCATGATTGTAGGATCAAGTTGATCTCCAGAATTGATTTTTTATTGATAGCTATTGCAATGAAAAGATTGTAGCGAGAAGTGCAAGAAATCTGATGGATTTTTGGAGATGGAAGGGGATGTTATGGGCAGAGCTGACCCCCCTGTCACTGGAAGACCATGGGATGGGTGATCCTGCACCTGCTGTGCCATGTTGGTTTCCAGTTTTGAGCCCCAAAAGGGATTTACAGGCTCCCCAGTTCCTGGAGCTTTGGGCTTCTTTGTTCTTTCTGATCTAAAGACCCACGTTCAACCATGTTTTAAAAGTGACAAACACTGTTGTTTCTTCTCTTGCAGTCGATCTGGAAAATAAAAAAAGAAACAAAACCCAATGTATTTGTACAAACATTCATAAGAATGCTGTTTGCTGTGAACTATGGATTGCAACAGTGCTATGTGTCTTTCATCAACAGGTGGAATCACTTTATCCTCGTCCTGGATGGGTTGAATTAGATCCTGAAGTGCTATGGAGCCAGTTTGTTGGTGTAATAAAAGAGGCTGTACAAGGTAATGGCTTGTAAAGTTTGGGAAATTACTTAATTATTCATCAAAATTAGTAAAGCTAGTTAAATAATGAGATTCTTTTTTTTAGAGTACTGAAAGTTCATCACTGAGCATAGGGCTGCAACATGCTTTAAAGCCTATTCAGTCATTATGTAAAATAGGACAGTTCTTCTCTTTCACTGGGGCTAGATGAAGATTGAAAAAGAACCAGGAGCAGTGTGCATGCTTGATTTACACGTGAGTGACAGTACCTTGTTACTTCAGCTTTTTTTATGTTTCCTTCCCCAGTGTCTGTCTTCCTTCCTCCAGATGCCTCTGTGTACAAACAGAGTCCCCATTGTTCTGCTGGTGCTTTGTGTGTGCGAATGTGAGCATATGAGAGTGAAAGCAGGGTACTGCATAGCTGTGCTTGCTCAGTTACAACCTGACATTCCTGCTTTTCCCATCCAAACTACAAACATTTCTTACCATCCAATTTCTGTATTGGTGTTTTTCTAGTTGTACTTTAACCTAAAATTTTCTAGTATTCCACACACAAAACACACACAGTTCCCTTTTCTACCCAACTGCTAATAGTTCAGGGAGTTTTTTTTCCCCCTTTTCTGGATACTGTTCTAACAATGCACCTGCTCTACAACTCCTGTAGCTTTTCCCATTATATCAGCTCCAGTGTTCTGCAGTCCAGCATGGATCACCTTCTGTGCCACGCTGATGCTGTGAACTTTTCAGTTGCACCCAGCTCACTTTCTCACAGTGCCCCAGCCTCCTTGTCATGTGTGTATGCATCATACATCATCATTCAGTATATCATCATTCAGTGCCTAAAGTTCCTCCTGTTCAGCCCCTGTGCAGTTTGGTCTCCAAGCGTTGCTCTGCCTCCAGCCTGCGGCAAGGCAAAACTGCTCTTGTCTCTTCCTTTGGAAGACAGTCTAGGGGATAGGGAAAGTAATCATTACTAGGTGTAAGGTGCAGCTGGTTATTTTGGGCTCTTGGTCAGTTTTCTCAGCAGTCACAAATGTTGTCACAAGAATAGCAATGCCGACTCAACCCCTGAGGACTTTACTAGCTTCCTCTGCTCCCATTTTGTGGGGGAAACGAGGAAACAAGATTTTTTTCACCTGGTTTTAGAGGGGAGGATTTTCTTGTGGCCAAGATGTGTACATTGTTGGCAGGTTATTTTGAAGTGGTTGTGTAATGTAAGTTAGCGTAACCCCACACTGCTGTCAAAAGGAGTCCCGCCCTCCTTTTTACAGGCTTGTTTCAAGTCCATGGCAGTTTCCTGAGTTAAATCACTCTGTGGTTGTTCATGCCGGCGAGCTTTACCAGTGTTTGTGCTAGTGCAAGAGAGGGTGTGGTACCAGGGACAGGAGTGACTGGAAGCAGAAAGAAGGTGTAGGAGCACTTTAGTATACAGGGCTTGTGGAGCTAAAATATGTGATTTCAGGCACAGGTGGATGAGCTGTTGTAGTTCAGTGCTACCCAAAGGTGCAAACTGCTTCTGGCTGCACAGTCCCACCCCTCTGTCTCTCACTTTGGTACTGGTTCAACCCTTCCAAGAGGCAACTTAGCTGAAAAATACACATTTGTCTTCAGGGTTTGTGTGTGGGTTTTTTTAGTCTTGAATGGAAGTTAGTCCTGCTCACGAGGGGCCTAGAGAACATCATAGTGACACAGGAAGATAGTGGGAGCATGTAGGTTGTGGAGATGGAGGGGAGTCAACATGCCACTAACACATAGTGAGCTATGGTTGTACTGGTATGGCTTTGACTTCAGTTTAGACCCAGCTGCTACTGAAAAAGAAATACCTTTGTTCTTAAGCCACCCACTCTTAGGTTCTCCTCCTGTACACTCCCACTGCCAGCTGCACCTGTGCGGGCAATTGGAGCAGGTAGCCTTGCAAAAGCACTGATTTCATTTTCAGCTGACTGAGGGCCTTGATACTGCTGCCTGCAGGAATGCAAAGTCAGTATAAGGGAAGGTGCTGAAGCACGTGTAGAGATCAGCAGAGCAGAACACACAGTTTCTCTATGAAACCCTATCTGTAATTGTCACCCAGAGGCTATCGGCTGTAGAGTCTGCAGTATGTGTGCTTACACAGATGAATAACTTCACACATGAAAGTTCACACAAGAACTTGATATATAATAATCACAGGGACATATATTAACTAATATATAAGCAAGGGACAAGGGGTAATGGGTTTAAACTTAAACAAGGGAAGTTCAGTTTAGATAAAAGGAACAAGTTCTTTACTGTGAGGGTGCTGAGGCACTGGAACAGATTGTGTAAAGAAGTGGTAAATGTTCCATCCCTGGCAGTGTTCAAGGCCAGGTTGGACAGAGCCTTGGGCTATATGGTCTTAAATGTGAGGCATCTTGTGGTAGGGGAATTGGAAATAGATGATCTTAAAGTCCTTTCCAACCCAAACTATTCTGCGATTCTGTGAAGTGTACTTAACCTGTGATTTGTTCAAGCAGGGGGATTGAGAGCCCTGCAGAGTAACAGTACTTTGGACAAAATACTTAGTCTGTCATTTAAGTGCAATTTCTTAGTGTATACTTTTTTCACGTAATTTTGCTTCTGGAAGCATACATGGGTGTACGTGGGAAGCTGACCAGAGCTGCTTTGAAAATAGCTGTGGACATGTATAATTATTTACAGCTATATATACATTAGAAAAAAAATGTTCTGTAACAGTTATATGAAGGTAAGATTTAACAGTAAAATTGGTGTATACCCAAATGCGCTTTTTTATACTTCTGAATTTGAAATATACTTTTCATTCACTGGTATGTGGTTTAAGAAATTTGAAAGATCACTTAAGGCATCCTTAAGGTGAGATACGTTATTATCAAAGTATGTAAAAAATCATGGCATACTAACATTTCACATCCATCCATGTGAAATGCAAGTTTTAATTGATTATACAGGCATATGTAGCCTGCCTGCCTGTCTGTCTCTGGGGTTGTTCTAGTAAAGTATCAACAGGCCTTTCAGAAAGAGGAAAGGGTTAGTGTGCTACACCTGCTTTTGTAAAATACGCAGGTTTATTTATGTGCTTTGGAATCAGTTACCTATCTTAGAGTTCTCTAATATATTAGCCACTTAGTTGGGCATTCTGTAGAGTTTTATATTCTCTTAAATTATTGTTTTCCTACGTATTCCATAGCTTTTATAGTTACATTTGAAAGTTTTATTTTTGTTTCTTCAAGTAAATCCTTCTTTAGTATGGTTTGTTTTTATCTTTTAGCTGCGGGACTTCACATGAGGCAAGTTGCTGGTCTTGGCATCTCAACACAGAGAGCAACCTTCATTACATGGCACAAGTATGTATATTGTGTGTTGCTTAAAACGAACTTGTATTCATTTGTATTCATAGACTGGATGGAAGCAGACTGTAGAAATGTTGAACTCCATCAAGTCACAATCTGCAAGCTACAAATGCCAGTTCCTCACATTCTCCTGTGTTTGCACAGCCACTCCTTAACAGTAGTTGAGAACAGTCTGTAAGTGTATGTCCTTTTTGTTTTGTTCTTAGTACTCTGGAAAAGATGAGGAGATATGTATTCTTTAATTCTGGTGAGAAGTTTTATCCTCAAAACATCCACATACTGATTAACTAATTCCTCAAATCCACCAGGAGGATATGCACTGAGTGTTAAGTGTCCTGACTGGAAATGGTGAATTATGTTGCAGTTTTTGTGCGGTATGTGTTCTATAGTTTTAAATGAGAATGTTCAAATGCTCTTTTTCAGGAGGACAGGGAAGCCTTTTCATAATTTCATAAGTTGGCAAGATGTAAGAAGTGCTGAACTTGTGAATTCATGGAATAAGTCCCTTCTGCTGAAGGTAAAACTGTGCTAAACTGAATACTGCTTGGACATGTTAGAACTGTTTCATTTTTATGAGAAGTAAGGGCTGTATATAAAATGCTGCAAGTGTCCTGTTAATATGACATGCTGAGGCCTAAAAAGTAACTGAGCAAGATTAGCATGAAAGGTAGTACTGATAGCCTGCAGGAAATTAATTATGGGGAAATGTCTAGCATGTATTTTGTTGCTTTTTAGTCTCTTTGTTGTTGTTTAGTCTTTTTTGTCTCATTTTATTACTTTTTTAGTCTCTTTGTTAGTCTCTAAAATGTTGCATGCTAACACTGCTGCAGCCTAATTTTTAGGTGTAGGTAGTTCTTGGTTGGCAGTGTATGTTTTGGTTTTGGTTTTTACTGTACTATTTGCTCAGATTATCTATAGAAAGAACATTTTATGTTGCTGATGGCTTGTGCTTCATACCATTAGAAGAGAAAGATTTTCTCCAAGTGGAAAAACTGAAGTTACTTTTCCTGTAAGTGGAAAATCACCAGCACATTCACAATAAGAAGTTCAGTTCTTGGGTTTGGCACTGATTTCAACTATTGCATGCAGTGTGCTCCTGTAGGCGACCTGTCTTCATAATGCAGACCAGTCTCTATGAGTATGCTAGCAGAAGTCAGTAAAACAGACTTGCTCTGTGCCTCTTCCTGTAGTATTTGTTGGGGGAAGGCCATTTATTGAAATCCTATGTAAGGGTTCTCTTAATAGAATTATGTCCTTCTGAATCTAATCTTACATCAGCAGTTTTCATCTGTGTTGTCATCCTTTAAAGATAACTGATCAGAAACCATTAAAGGGAGAGATTGAAACCGATGTAACTGTTTTCTTTTCAAACAGGTAATCCATGTTATTTTTACAGTGCTTCATTTCTTGACTGGGAATGATCGGTATTTAGCACCAAGTTTTCTTACTTTTTCAACACAACAGACTTCTATGAAGTTGTCATGGGTTTTTAAAAACATAAATGAGGTAAGCTGGAAAGGGAAAATAATAGCTTTCTTAAGCCATAATAATGGATAGTGACTTAGGTTGGTTGTAACTTCCTCAATTTGGTCTTGCATGTTCTTTTCCTCTGAAGAAGCAGAATGAAAGACTTGTATCTTTGGTAATGTTCCAAGCTTGTCTACCTACACATCTACTCATGTTTATACAACTACTTCTTCTCCTTCTGGAAATGTGTAGTAGTAAACTGTTCTCTTCATACATAACAGACATAATAAAATCACCTTATTTCACTTACACAGTTAGTAATTGTACTTTGTTTTAAAGTTGCTTGCTGTCTAGTTTTGCATGACAGTTGTATTTATTTTCAACTGGCACACTTATCTTTCCACCCTGCTTTATTCCAGTGTTTGCAGTTTGACAAATAATATCAAATTGAACAATCAACCACTGTCATCCATTTATTCTTAATTTTATTGTACTGTAAATTGGAAAATAGTTATAAAATAAGTTGTGCTGGACTATTCTAAAAGACTGATGAGCCGTACACTATTTGTTGCTGTATTATTTGCTCTGATCTTTACTGTTTTACTTGTTTCTTCCTGTAATATTTATAACTTTTGTCATCTTATTTCCTGTGTTAATTTTAAAGTTATTCTTTAAGAAAATGGGTATTGTCCATTTTGTGCCCTGTATAAAGAAACCCCCAAACCTTCTGAGTTTTGTCTGGTATTTTTAGTTGTCACTAACTCCTGAGAAGCTCAAGTATATCTTTTTACTGGCATGTTTTGGTTGGACCTGATGAAAATGTCAAGTGTGAATTCGGAGGATTGTAGAATTGGAAGTTACATAGCTGCTGAGGTTTTGGTGAGAGATGAATGTTTTTCCACATTTTGTCAGGCACTGATACTTAAAATGTATGGCTATCAAACCAAGAATCTCAAAAATTCATGGCTGTTAATTACAGAGAATAGTGTATTCAGTCATGTTTTGAGTGAAGCTACGTATGTTCTGTATATGAATTCTGTAGTTGTACGGTTCTCAGTTAGTAGAAATTAGATGAAACCTGGATTACCCATTTTAAAGGGGAAAAAATTCCCAAGGAAAGTAACATTCTGAACCCTTTGCATGGTCATAAACCAGAAAACAGTGGTTACAGGGGCCCTGTCTATTTTGGTCAAGCATATACACTTGTTTTATTTTTGTTAATTTTTTATTCCGGTGCTGTATGCTGGACTTTGTTTTCTTTATCCACCACTCCTTCACCACTGCTACAGCTGTGCCTATAGAGTTTCCCTTCTTAAAACTCTGATGTCGCTTCAGTAGAAGATTAACTGCTTTTATTTCCTTAGCAGGAATTGTAAGAAACCCTGCTTATTCTTTGTTAGGAGCATGGATTGTAGGATGGTATTACTTAAATAGTCAACTCTCCCTTTTTAGAAGAAAAATTGGCAATCAGAGACTTATTTTCTGGGACATTATCATTAACCACAAAGACAATGAGAAAAGGAATTGGGAAATATGTTTTTCTTTATTGTACCCAGTTGCAAGTACTTTTTTTCTTTTTTATGTATATTTGCTCCCAGGCTGAAGAAGCTGCCAGAAAAAATAACTGCTGCTTTGGAACAGTTGACACATGGTTACTGTATAGATTAACTAAAGGTGAATGTTTACAGTTCCTCTTAATAAAACATACTGGAATCTAAGTAATGATGTTCATGACTGTCATTGATATATCCTGGAATTCAAATACTTTTTTGACAATTTATGTGGTTTTGTAATTGATGAGTATTCTAATATATTTACTGTTTAAATAACCCAGCCTTCTGAGTTAAATATTCTTTGGGTCTGTCTGGAAGGATAGGCAGAAAGGGAAATAAATGTTCAGTGTAATCAACCTTTTAGGTGTTTAAGATTCAAAGAGGACTCCCAGAATTACTTTGCCTCAATTGAAGAAGGGTACCTGTGAAAGCAAAAGAACAAAGAATTGTTACAAATGTGGAAGAGGGGCAAGTTCTGTCTATGTTTTTAAAAGTACCAGCTCTTTTCTAGCCAATTTCATGGGGGTTAAATAAGGTAGTTAATACGTATACATTTTAGTGAGCGGCAGGTAGTTTGTATGTTCATTGTATCATTATGACTTTGCTTGTAGGCACTCACTTTGTATTTCATGGGAGATGTTTAAAGGAAAAGTATGTTTAAAATTACTTTTTATGTTTAAAATCTTACTGTGTTCTTTGTTTTGTTCTTTATGGTAGGTTCTGTGTATGCTACAGATTACTCAAATGCCAGTGCTACAGGTGTTTTTGAACCCTTTACGGTATGTGCTGTTCCCAAAAAAATGCTGTTGCTAGTTATTGTGCTTCTGAGAGAATTGCTGATATTTTTATTTTTTCCATGTAATTTCAGAAATGTTGGAACCCCACTTTGTGTAATTTACTTTCCATTCCCATGTCTATTTATCCACCAGTGAAAGACACAAGGTAACTATGAAGGCGTATTGAAAAGAACATAACTCTTAAATTAATCGCCTTTAGAAAAACACTACATGTCTGCACAAGCAAAGTAACACATAGCTGCACCAAAAAAACAAAATTATTTTTATATGCAGGTGTACTTCTTGTTAACACTACATGCGAATTTTATTTTTACTATTGGTATTTCTTAAAGTGATAGTTTTAATGCCTTCTTTACAATAAATTGGTAGCATTACCTTTCGTATGTGTTGCAGACCCAGGCCTTAGATATCTATATTACATTTTAACAAAAGGTCAGTTTAGTGTTGTGATGTTTCTCCATAATGTTTGTTTTAAGCTTCAACTTTGGATCAGCTGACTCTGAAATATTTGGGGTACCTATACCAATAATGGCAGTGGTGAGTTTTCCTCCTTAAATCTGTATATTTGTACCTATATTCTTTTTACCTAGCTTTGATTTAATGCTTGCTTAGTAATTATTCCCTATTCCTTCTGTATAACCACAGTAGAATTGGTTGTTGACATTTTCTTCAAAAACTTGGTTTACAGCTTTAGGAGAAAAGCAGAAGAGAGGAATGAGAAGGGATTTTTAGAAGTTGAGGTCCATTAGGATTAGATGACCAAATAATTAAGCATTAATTTAGGACTTAACAGAGCTGGTTTCTATTATAAAGTCTGGTAATCTGTCTCTCTGTGACTTAAAATCAGTTTTCTATATGAAGTTGTGCAGTGGGGTCCATTCTGACTTGACTTCAGTACGACTGTACACAAATGTAAAAGTATTTCCTAATAAATTACTTGTGGTACCTTTTTCAACTAAAAATAAATGGTGAATACCATGTTCTTGCCTCAGTAGTTATGATTTCGATAAGAAAAACCCATTATTTTTGTCAAGTGATGACTTGTAGAAAAATCTGCTTGGATTGAGGTAAATGGAAAAAAATGTCACCTAGCTAAGATGAATTTCTGCTACTATTTTTAAAGAATTCTAGGCTCAATTTATCTGTAAATGTGCTGTTTCACCAAGGCACAGAGAGACATAAATGCATTTAGTAACCATCATTGCTAAAAAATATCAGCATGGAATAATTTGGTACAGGGAGGAGTAGCAGGATAAAAGGAATGTGAAGCCTCAAAACTTCGACTTGCTATCCTGGGGAAGAGGAATTCAAACCAAGCTACCCTCTTGTGCTTCCTGGTATTGCAAATGCCCTGTTTATCCTTCTCAAATACTAAACCATAAAGTATTTCTTTTTTCCATAAAATATTTTTTAGTGTTGCAATCCATACTACATACATTCACGTTGTGTCCAAACCTGCTGTACTTTGATTCTAGTGATAAATGTGACTGTTGGAATGGCCTGCATTGTGTATGAGCCCTCTCTTAACGCTCAAGTCCTTTTTGAATGGTTATTTTTATCCAGAACTCTGATCTGTTTGCAGTGATATTTTGAAGTGCTGCAGCTTTGTAGATTGGTAGTTGATAGCTAGCTTGTATTGTTCTTGTTGGTACGGCAGGTAGCAGATCAGCAGTCAGCTATGTTTGGAGAATGCTGCTTTCAACCAGGAGATGTTAAACTGACAATGGGAACGGGTGGCTTCTGGAATGTGAATACTGGAGAGCATCTTTTTGCATCACGCAGAGGTAAGATAGTGAAATTTTGGGTTTAAAGTATTTCATGTGATTCAACAGCTATAAATGATGAGGGTACAAAAAAGGATAAAACAGGGCTATGCTTTTCCTTCTGTGTGTAGCTGTAGAAAAACAGCTTGAAATTGTTTTCGGAACAGAAGACTCTGGAAATTTTTTTTTAGGAACACAGATCTTGGTTACTCTGAAATAACGCTTCTCAAGAGATTTAAAGTAGCATCACTAGTAATTATGTCTGCTACCTGCATCCTTGTTTGTTTTCTTTGGGGTTTTTTGGTTTGTTTTCTTGTGGGGGTTTTGTTTGTTTGCTTGCTTGCTTGTTTATTTTTGTTTGTTTGGTTTTGGGTTTTTTGTTTCTTCACCTGTTCTTCTTGATAGCAATATTTTAGTGTTACACAGTACAGATGGAGAAAAAAGGGATTAGTCCTCTGGCTTCTCACATCAAACTGTTCCAGCAGGTCACTGTATGTTCCTTCTCTTCAGCCCTTATGCTTTGAAGCACCTGCAACGGGTTAATACAGGGTTAGCAATTTTTAGTTTTCTTTTAAAATAGTAGAAATGAGCTCCCCAATATGTTTCTAGGTTTTAAAACTGTGTTATTTTGGACATTTGTGGTCTTTCAGGCTTGTTAATTTGTCATAGATGGTATTTGTCAAGAGGGCAACAGGCAGTGCTGAAGTAAATTTGCCTGCACAGTCTCTCTGTGTGTCTGTCATATTTTTAAAGAGTTACTAATTTTGGAAAGCCAGCAGTTTAAAATGGGAGGGGTATATTTGGGGTTGAGGACAGCAGTGTTCTAAGGAGACTTTTAGCAGCTGAAGCCTGGAAATACCTTGGCAAATACATAGATCTGTCAGACGTGAATAGCACAGATATTGAATTCCCTATGAATGCAAATGCTTTTTAGATTAATTAATGATGATCTGGTGATCCTTCTACTTAGGAAGTCATATATATATATGTAGTCTGTGGAAATGCAACAGCAATAACATGCTGTAAGGTTTTTCTGTTTTGTTTTCTTCTAAAAAATATTTAGCTATTGTGATAGGAGTTGGAATCTTTAAGGCAGTGCTGTAAAGCTTTTACTGCTTTAGGCTGTTACTTACATTAAAATTATTTTCCCTATGTTCTTTGGCTGTCGGGTGGTATGGTTAGTGACACAAATTAAGTACCTATCTTTGCTCAGCACCAGGGGCATGAAATGTAATGTGTTCATTCTTTAAAGTTGACATATGTATTTAAGACTGCAGTATGAATTCCCGCAGCATCCTTCTGCAAGCTGTTAATTAGCTGCTGTTCTAGTTTCTGGTCTACATTTGGTTGCTATATATGTCAGTTTCAAAAAAATAAAGTAGTTACTTCAAGAACAGCACTTGTCACAATTCAGTGATGGAAGCATGTTGTATAGATTTGAAATTTGTCTCCATCGGTCTGATAGTTCTAGGTATCTCTGGTCATGCCAAGAGTTATGTTGATCCATCTTTGGAGGTAGATTCTTTTACACTACTAGAGACTCGTGGTGTGAGTATCTTTAGGAAGGCCACCTGATGGGCTTCTTTGTACCTGATAAGTTGTCCCTGTCTTGGACTTCTGTCTCGGTGAATTGCTAGTGTTGCTTCCTTGCAGCCTTGCCTTAGGTAGAAAATAAAGATTATAAGGGAGCCCTGCACCAATGATCTAAGATTTATCACATTTTCCTTTCAAGAGACAAATGCAAACTTTAAATAGGTGCTGCTGATTGTTTCCATGGTAAGCACCAGAGTGCCTCCAGCACTAACCCAAGTGTCTGCAATTGCACTAGTACTACCATGCCACACTTTTGAACACATGCAGGCAAACTGGAGATGATTCTATGAGGCACACTTGTGTACCAGCAAAGTCACCCTGAGTAAATGGAGATAATCCTGAGATCCTTCTGATGCTTTTCTGGACCTTTAGTTACTGGGACTTGTTTACCTTTGTTGCATTACCCATGATCTCTAAGTCCTGAGCAGGGTCCCATAAAGTCTGGGTGCTTTCTTTACTTTGGCACTTACTGAACTTCGGTTGGGTGAAGTTTTTATTGCTGTGGCCACTGAATGCTTATCGAGTCACCTGAAAAACCATTTGTCCAGCTGCATTACCAGAGAACATCTACTGTTCAACTAGATAATGAAGTCTTTTTTGCTTCAGCATTAAAGCAGCACTCTGCAGGACTCTGCTATGTTCTTGCTAGTACAGATATCAAACAAGAAGGTCTTTGTGTTCACACTGACTGTTTTTAATAGCATGTCTTTCTTGAAGTTTTCAATGTTGGCAGGGGGAGCAAAGGGGAGAAGGGGTTGTCCGGTTTAGCCTAACATATCTTCAAGCAGGCAGTTCTATGAAAGACACTGTAAGGTGTTTTCAAATAAACTAACAGTGCTTGCCGTATGTACTTTTGCCTTTCTGCTGAGAGAAAAGAAAAAAGAAGTAATTTTGGTTTTAGTTTGTTGGGGTTTTTTTGAGTCACTGCAAAGCCCAAACTACTTGGAAATCCTAACTTCCTGAAAATCCCATCATGTACACCACAGAAGTGCTACTTGTTTGTAGTTATAGACAAAGCATGTCACCAAATATCTTAAAGAGTTTGAATGTTTCTTTTATTTATTAGTCAAACACACAGGTAGAATGATGTAGTTAACTGGCAGTAGCCTTTATTGGGGACAAGGATGGGCAAACTGGGAAACTTGTTTTTAGCTTTCTATGTGAGGAAGCATTGCATAATGAAAAGGAATAGAAAAGGTTATCACTTTTATTCTCTTCTATGAGTAAGATCTATGTTCAAAGCCCATGCTGCCTTTGTGTGTGTGTGTGTGTGTGTGTGTGTGTGTGTCTGGTTTAGTGTTTGTGCTTCCTCTCTGAAAGCCCAGTCTTCATGTTCTATGTTTTGGGGAAGTAATTCCAACTTTTTAGAAACCATTGGGGAAAATTAGATGGATTTAAAACAAATGGGGAAACACTGATAAATTTTTAAGTATATACAATTTCTTATTATAATAAAAAGTGCAGATAACTCTTCTGTTTAGCTTAAAGAAGGTTGTTTTTTTAAATTTGATAGTGTTTTGGGTTTGTTTTTTAGGGTAACTACGGTTTAACTAACTTGTTCAAGTCTCTTGTAATCCTATCACTAAGTTTTTAAGCAACACTTTTAACCTCCATCAGTGACATTTTTCAAGCTTGAGTTGTGCAAAGGAACCGAATAAAAACTGGAGATTTTTGTTGGATTTCTTAAGGACGTGCTTGTATATGTTTTTTTGGAAACATTTAACTCTGTGTTTTGTTTCATGGAAAATAATTAAGGCCTATATCCACTGATTGGTTGGAAGATTGGGGAAGAAGTTGTTTACTTAACTGAAGGCTGTATTTCAGACATTGGCACTGCCATAAAATGGGCTCAGGATATAAGTAAGTATTCTTTAATTTTATAGAGGCTGAAATATGTTATTACCTAAGAAACTGTTTTTATGGGGACACAGTTATGTTACCGGGCTTGGTTTTAGTATCCATAATTGAAGAAACTAGCCTAAGTGTTTTGGACAATGGAAAATGATGTGTCTCATTAGTGGATTCTCTGCTGAGTGTGTTTGCTGCAGGGAGTCAGCTCCTTTTCAGACTCTGTCTCTCAGACCCTCCTGCCTGTGTAGGTGAGGCTCAATATGGATGAAGATGAGACTATAAAAGTGATAAAAGTTTGGAAAAAAGAATTTCTGTAGCGAGAAAAACCTGGTTTAATGCACTTCCTTTAGTGGGATTAGATCCCTTCTAAGAGTTTTGAAAAAGGGACATGGAATATCAAGGTGAAGTCAATATTTATTTATTTTAATTTTTTTTCATTTTCTGTCCTGGCACAGAGCCACTCTATATAGTTCAGTAATAGCAAATACAGCAAGAAGGATTAAGGCTTATTAGTCTGGGCACAGCAGAATCCAAAGCTTTCAAATAAATTTATGAAGGTTACAAATGTAAATTGAAACTCCTGGAAAGTTATCAGGGTGGGATTTTCAAAGATAAATAAAGTTAGATTAACCTAATTTATTTCTGATAGGAGAATTTACTTTTTAGACAAGAAAAAGCCGTAGATCTCATTTACAGGAGACCTCTAATTTTCTGTACAAACAAGCTATGTGGTCACATAAGGACATTATTAGTTGAAACTACACAAGATGAGCATTAGTACAAGAATTACATGTGGGTGAAGAACAAGCTAAAGAGGGATGTCTGTGGAGTTGTGAAACGAGACATCTGGCTAGACAAAATAAAATTGTGTTTCTCAAAGAGGTAATATTAGGACCTAATTTATATTTATGTGTTAGTCACTTGTAAAAATACTAATGGTGCTGATACCATATTAAGGACTTTCTCTGTAGTCATTTGGTGCTTGTGCTTACAGTAACAGTATCTGGAGAGGATAACATTGTTTATGTTTTGCAAATCTAGGTTTTTAAATACTTAGGGTGCTGTTGTTAGCATTGTCAATTCCTGTTTATGTCTGTTTGGAAAGCTAATGACCTCTTACAGGATATGAATATTAAAAGGCTATAGCATAACAGATACAAGAGGATCCTCATAATAGGAGGATTGCAGACATTAGAGTTTAGTCTTCATCTGAATAGGTTTTTGTTTTTAACACGAGAAGTGATCATTTTCCTTAGAACATGTAGTTTGAGAATATTACAAAAGGAAAAGTCTAAGTCCATTTTTTTGTTTCTTAATATATGAAGAAATGGAAGTGAATTATAAAAGAGTATGATTTATGCATTTTTACAGATCTTTTCACCAATGTAGATGAAACAGCAAAAATGGCAAGGAGTATTGTTGATTCTCAAGGCGTTTGTTTTGTTCCAGGTTTTCAGGTAAAAGTCTTAGCATTAGTGTAATTGAGAATATAATTTTAATAACTTAGCTAAAATTTTAACCTTTACCTGTTTACATGTAGTAATTTACATCTTGTCACAGTATTTATTCTGTACTACTCAAGTCCCTGTTTTCTCTCACCATAATGCATGAAGATCATTGTTATATCAGAATGCTTAAACACCATCCCTCCCCCATCAGAAAAACCTTACAAAATACGAAAATTTTATCCATTTTGCAGATGAAGACCTGGGGGACAGATAAACTAAATGAATTGCCCACAGTGAGTCAGGAAGTGCCTTCAGAGACAGAAATGGATCCCATAGTTCTTTCTGCCTCATGCAGAGCCTTCATTGAGACAGTTCTTCTAAGCACTGTTCTAAAATAATTGAAGATGTAGGTTGCAATCCATCAGAGTATTCAAACCTATCAAAATATGAGTAAGATTCTGTAGTAAGATGTAGTAACACCAAGTTCTGATGTTACTAAAAGCCAAGATACTTTTCCTGGGAATGGTCAAACTGAGTATGGTAGACTTTTCTCTTAGAAGGCTTAGTAATTCATTAGTTTGAATGTTACCAACCAGCCCATCTCTCTGTGTTTCTAAAAGTGGGGGGGTTTTCATTTTTTTTTCTTCATTGGTCAAGTGCCCTACATTGTTTGATCATTCCCAGGACTAGTGGTTTTTCTAAAGAAACGTAACATCTTTAACCTGACCTTTGTGTAAGTCCCGTATGTCAGTGGTATGAGGCAAAGAAGAATTTCATTTCTGCTGCAGGTAGCCCAGGTACCTTCTCTCGTGGTAATCATTAGTTGTATTTTCAGGTATAGAGCTTGATTATGCTAAAACATTTCCATTTACTATTTACTGTGAGTAATTGTGCCACTCCAAATTGCAGTATTTGCAGACAAGAATCCCAAGGTAGACAAATGTTAGTCTGAATCCTTTTTGGATCTGTAATTCTATTAATATTCAAGTTCTAGAGGTGTTGGTAAAACTTGTTTTTATTCAGTTTTTGTTTGGCTTTGTTAGTTCTTCTCCCGCTTGCTTTCCTAACACTATTTCCAGAAGGAACCCCACCCAGTTTCTTGGTAAACATTGATTCAGTCTCTTTTTTCCTAAGTCTGATATTCCCAGTCTGAAATTAGAAGCTGCACGTAAACCTGCATGGCTTTCTCTAACCATGACATGTCGTGACCACGAATAGTACGGATAATGTGGATTTCTTTACCTTTAAAAAGTCCTGCTTATTCCAGTGGACCGTGCTTAGCTAGAGGACTCCCAGTAGCGGAATCTGTATCAGTTTAGAAACTGAGTGGATTAAATTGTATGAAAAGGGACATGAACAGAGTTGAACACTTCTGGGACTGTAATGTGCCTGTTTAGCTTCACTGGGTAGATGCTAACACAAATTGATTTGGTTATAACGTTTCTTAGACCTCAGAATGATAGTAGTTAGGGAGGATACTTATGAAACTTACGTTCATTTCCTACACAGAATAAAATGTTTACTCATCCATATTAAGGCAATAAGAACAAGTTTTCTTTCTTACTGGATTCTGCTGGTGTGGTACAGTACACTGAGAGGACCATCACTGTATTTGAAATCAAGTGAATATGAGCATTAATTATTTTTCCTTTTACTCACTCTGCTCGAAACACTGCTTTGCAGGCTTAATTTGCTGTGGTTAATAGTTACAGCAAAAACTTAGGACTCTTCATTGGAGTGTATGCATATATGTATCTATCTACCTATGTATGCATACACACACATATATATATGCACTGCTATTTTTCTCTTTAATGATTGATTCTTTCAGGATACTCACCCTTATGTAGAATATACTTTTTAGTTTACTACTTTATATACAAACATCTGTAAACTTGGAAGCCATGAATCCTTACTATGCTACTGGGCTGGACAAGTGGTTCCATTCTTAGAGTTGGAATGGTACTTATAGATTTAAAAATAAAAATTCTTTGACTTCAGGGCAGTAGTTTCTTCTCTTTGGGAACTTTTGCAAAATGCCAGTTCTCATTTGGCTGTGTGTATCTATACATACATAATTTTTTATATATTTTTTTTATATGATAGCATTTTCTTAACTTTGCAAATACATATGTTTATTTTATAAGCATGAAATTCAAACTTCTGGTAAATGTTGTCATAATTGATTTTAGCACAGTACAACTGGAAAGGATTGTTTCAATTTAAGAATGACTGTCTAGAGTGAAAATGAGATTTAACAGTTGTCACAGACCAGCAAGCCAGTATTTTGTGATAAAGTTCAGAGGAGTGGAAGGTTAGAGACGAGATTCATCAACGGATCCTCTAGTTCCCCTGAAAAAAAACGACAACTTAATGACCATTACAATTTTAGTTGGACTCTTGTTTATCATCGTGTGTGTGAAATCTGACTAGAGAACAGCAGCATCAGCCTTAGACACTTAAAGTGTACGCTATATGTATTTTCAAGAGAAGTCGTACAGGTTAGTGTTAATGTAGTATGTCAGTTTTGGAAGAAGCCACTTAAACCTTTTCCTGTTGAAAGAAGCTCTTGAAATTTTTCACTGAGTTAGCTAAAATAACATTATATACCTCTTACATATTGTTTTCAATTTTCTTCTTTCACTATGCTGCCTGTAATTGTCGTAAGTTATTTTTTCTTACTATTTGACTCCTTTCTCAAAAGCCTACAAATACCATTCACTGAACTCATGGTGAAATCTTTTTGCAGGTTTCTGTGAATGACACATATTTATGTGCCTCTTTCATGGGGCTGAAACCGTCCACTACCAGAAACCATCTTGTACGAGCTATATTGGAATCTGTGGCTTTCAGGTATTGTTTGCTTAATTATCTTGCTTGTATTTTCTTAGATTGGCTTTTGTTTTGATCAGCAGTGTTAAATGGACACGACTGCAGTTTGTAAACTATAAATGATAATAATCTATTACTATTACACTGAAAAGAAACCTTAGCTGCTTTTTTTCCCACACCTTACAAATAAACTCATATATATTTACTAGCTCAGAATTTTTATTTAGTAACCATATAGAGATTCTTAAATTATATTAGTTTCTGCATGTTCTAAAAATGTTTTCTTTTTGAAGTTTGCCTTTACTCTTCTGACAGTGTTTTGCCAGAAGCTGTAGGCCACTCCAGCTGTGGTTAAAGTATCCCTGAAGCTGGAAGTTTTGTACTAGCTCTTTGATTAAAAGAGCTAGTAACATTCTCAGTTGGTGCAGTGGTTTCTAATGAATTATTTTCTTCACTGCAAGAGCAATGTGAGATGCAGTAATTCTGCATTCCTGAACTGAAGCATGGGTCTCTTGAACAGGGAGGGATATTAAGAGACTCATCTCATTCAAATACCTAACTAGAAAAGGGTAGGGATTGTGGTTAGATTTTCTCCCATTAAATGAAATGACTTCAGAACAAGTCAAATTTACAACCTTCATATGTTCCCTTTAAGAACAGCTGGAGGAACTCCGATTAACACTCTGTCAGCCTACTTTCCTCACCCTAAACCTCTTGTTACATCAACAATTGTATCTTCTCTATAGAAACCTATGAACAATTTCCATCAGGGGAAAACATACCTTGTACAGTGACTTGCTATAAAATGGGCTGTAATTTAGCCATACCTGTACCTTTGTAATGATGTGTGGCAAAAGTAAGTTTCAGTCTTATCTTTTTTTCTTTAATTTATGCATTCTGGAAATTCTGTTAGCTATTGCAGCAGTTCTGACACAACTGAGGCATTTTTTGCCTTGTATTTTATTTTCTGACAATGTAGATACTGGAAACACTTTATGGAATACATAATGCTAATTCAGCTAAATATTTTTTTTAAGAAACAAACAGCTTTATGATATGATAGTGAAGAAGATACGTATTCCTCTTCAAACAATTCGGTAAGTTCTGGGCAACTTTTAAATTTGATACATGGGAATTTGATTTTAAATAGGATGACATTTATTGTGCATTTTAAATTACTGTAAAACTCCTGCTGCTGAGAAATAAACTATTACCAAGTCAAATGTTAATGTAACTTAAGTGGAGGTAACCCATAGAAAGGTTGGTTCTTAATTAAGCTATTGTCATTGGTGATTGTCAGTAGGTGAGTAATGAATAGTTCTAATTATTCTAATAAAAAAAAAAAAGTAAAAGGCAAATTAATGTTTTCAGGTAGCACTCGAGTGCATATGGCACTGCCTACCACAGAGGTGATTCTCCCCGTTATCATTCTTTCAGACTGAATTTTTTTCTGCTGAGGGTCTCACAGACTGAATGTGGTTTTTTAAATGTCAGTTAAAGTTGGACCTGTTTGTGAGTAGGACAGGGAGGATATTTTTACAATTCAGTTGTTAAGATGCTGGTTTTCTTCAATTTTTGAAGAAGAAAATGAGTGACATAGCTTTGATCCCTAGATTATGCTTTCACATCTTGGAAAAATTAGCTGAATTACTTGGTGCTGGAAAGCTGTGTTGCACATTTAGGTAGCTACTTCATTTGAACACATTAGTTGTCTTATGATCAAGCCCTCTAAAGCCGAGAAAGCTCTCCAAAATTTCGCTTTCTGGCAGCCAGGGGTCATTGTGATACTACGGTCAAGAGAGTGAGGAAAACGTTCCTGTCCCTCTTGTGGCTTTTTTCCTCATACCCATGTAAACGAAGAAATAACCTGGCAGGCACGTAAACGGCTGAGAAATCAGACTTTCGAGTGGTGAAGGGAAAATGAAAGTACAAAGTGGATGGATGTAAATGTTTCTGTCTTCTATCAGATACCGGGACAAAGTAGGCAAAGAGGAAGGAACAGCCAGGCTTGGGGTTTTAATGCAGAGGAAAAGATAAAAAGTACTAGAATTTTTTTTTTATTTTATTTTTGTTACACAGCAAATTGCATCCAAAATTTGAGAAGTTGTATTAGGACTACAAACTGAAAAATGGGATGTGTGCAAGTACTGCCTAGGGAACTGGAGAATTCTGGTCCCATTTACATTGTAATATACTTAAAATTGTATGATCATATTCTGTTTTATTTATTAATATAAAATTGCTGTTACATATAGTGACTGTAATAGTTAACTGCATCAGTAGTAGTTCAGCTTGTGGGTTAAGCATTAGAAGATGAGGTACACGTAATGGTTTTTTTCAGTCAGGTTGTAAACTGCTTCCTTCCCATCCTCGTGTCTGCACATCTTCAGTATCTGTCCTTCTGATTTTTTTTGTTGTTGTATTTTATCCCACAAATATCTTTATTCCCTTTCTACCTATTGTCTTGTATCCCTGGTTTCTTCTTGGTCTCTGGCCCCTACAAGCTCCTAGAAAGTTGTTTTCATTGGTCCTCCACATTCCTGCTCTTCGATTGTCTCAACATCATCAAGGAACAGAGAAGGAACTGTTAGTTTCAGTGCTCATGCCCTGTGTTGTAGCAGTATGCAGCAGCCTTTACAGGGATGATCCTGGTGGTTCCTGGAGTTCTGGAATGTCACCTATTGTTCTGAGAAATAAGACATCCTGTCAAATGGAACACAGGAACTTTGAGCTAGAAGATGTGTGGATTAAATCTTCAAAGTATCTTCATGCAAAATTGAGCTAAATGTAAAACTGGGCATTTGGGAAATTTCTTTTTTCCCCCTTGTAACCTGAATCAAATGAATGTCTTATTTTTACAGAAGGAAAATATATGTCACTGGCACAAAGATTGTGACTTTATGCCACAATATAGAAGTGGTAACCCTGCTTAACTGTTTGTACAAACAAGCAAAACCCTGTAACATTGCCAGTCGGGCAGTGTCCTGATTTTACTTTCAGAAACAAAACACTTATGCCACAGTTTGCTGAGACACCACATAATATAGGAGATATCTAAGCAACTGTGAGGTTTTATTACCCAATGCTTTCTATAGTAGTCAACAGTAAATGTCTTTACTGGACTACATATGATAGAACAACAGCTTCATACCTGGCTGCTATTGGACTCCCAACAGTATAACAAACTAATTATGACAATTCAAAGATTGCTTTTAGTTCTAGTTTTATTTTGTTTGCAAGACTGGTTACTTTGCACCACTAGTAATCACTGAGATGATTAAAGACCAGCATTGATAAGTTCTAGTTTTCTTCATTAAAGGGTCTCTAATGTAATGCAATTAAGAAAACAGGTGAGTGAAAAAGTCTCATTCTCATCTTCTTCATGAAAAGAAGCAACTGTGATGTAATTTTAGCTAACAAGTACAAAGATTTAGTAGTAATGAAAACAGTACTTTTCCAGATCTGAGAACACTTGAAAGGGTTTATTTAAGGTAACGGTTTTGACTTTTGTCATGTTGTGGTGATCACTATGAAAAGGTTCTGTTATAAACCCCAACATTTCAACCAGGATGATGCATAGCTCTAGAAGACAGAGCTTATAAAACTTTTGATAATGTGTCTGTCCTGCATCCCTGTCTGTCTAGCATTCCTCCCCCATTTTATAGGCATTCTTTTTCTTTTCCTAGGCACCTTGTGCTGTCTTCTAAATTTGCCATAAAATGGAAAAGCATTTGTGCATGAGTGAAAGGAAAATGTATGCATAGGTGTGAAATCCCAAAGTTGTTTTCTGAAATGTTGGCAATAAGCATTTGAACTAAATGCATTTTTTTTAAGTATTTCTTCCCTTCTCTCTATAGAGCTGATGGAGGTGTCAGCAATAATAGTTTTGTCATGCAGATGACTTCAGATTTAATTAATAAGAAAATAGAAAAACCTGTGAATGCAGACATGTCGAGTCTTGGCGCAGCTTTTCTAGCAGGCCTTGCTGCAGGTATGTGTACACTTAAAGGGGTTTTGGTTTTCCCTTCATAATGCATGTTTGTAAATATGGAAAAACAGACAAAACCAAAGCATAACTTCAGATAATTGTGAAAACTCCCCATAGGATTACTTTAGCCACTTTTGTGGGAATTCAAGATAAGTAGTTTTTGTGTTTCTCTGCACAGTGCTTTGTACCCATATACTTGTGTTTGGTGGTCCAAAGAAACACATAATGTCAAACATAAACCAAATCAAGGACCTTACTTGTATTTCTGACACAAGGTCCCGATTTGCTGAGCCACTGGTTAGTTTTACATAAACAAATAGTGATGGCAAGTTTAATGTGAGAAATGCCTGCATAAAGGTCTGTAAGATCTGTTGACATTTAGAAGGATATAGTACTGGAGAAGAAAGAGGTGAACCCTGTCTTTGCTGCCTCCTGCTTTCTTGACCTGGACACTTGGTATCCCTTCCCACATTCCCACTTGGAGCAGTTCTCAGTGGGGATGGATCATGTGACAAGGAAGCTGCTACACTTAACCTGCAGCCCTGTCATTCCCACTGAAGCTCTGTCCTGTCACCTGTGAACCTAGTCTTTATTCTTTAAGGTTTTCACAGAAATAAACACAGTAGAAGTACAAAATAAATTATCAACAGGGGAAAAAAACCACCTTTACTCACACAGTATTATTTTAGATAATTATCCAGACTTAAAACTACATACTGTCAACGGTTTTGCTTAATATCCACCTGTAAAATAACTTCATTAAATTGCTCCGATTAACTTAAATTGCTTCCCTTTAACTTCATTAAATTGCTCTGATATGTAAATAACACAATTGTAAGATAAAAAGTATATGCTCAGTAAGACTTACTCAGCAATTAAAACTGTAGCAAAGCTGCAGCTCTTGTCAGACAAGAATGATTAAATAACCTAAATGTATCTGAATATGTAACACCAGATGATTTCTGCCATGGATGCAATTTTTGGGACAGTAGGAAAGCAGCTAGAGCAAGTCTTGGTTTCTGTGTTTCTTCTTCATTGAGAGGGACCTGCAGCCGAAAGCAAAGTGTGGATGAAACCTAAGGGAACTTCAGTGTACCAGAGCTGTTCCTTGGAAGCCATCCCAGTTAGGCAGATGTACTGTTGTAAGGATTCCAAACAAGTGGATGCTATTGGAAAGGAGTTTCACAATGTTAAAAATATGCTTCCCTCTGAGAAAGTTGTTGGTTGAGTAAAGAAAAGCTGTCATGGCTTCTTACTGTGTTTCTGCTTTGGATGTCTTGGAAAAAGATTAAAACAATCAAAAATAACATATTTGCAGCTGAGCTTCAGAATGAACTTTCTGTTTATAGGATTTTGGACTGACAAAGAACAATTAAAGAAGCTAAGGCGAATAGAAGTAGTTTTTGAGCCCCAGAAGGACTCGGAGGAATACAAACCTGCTATGGATACCTGGCTACAAGCAATGAAATGCTCCCTGCACTGGTAGAAATTGGCATTTTAATGATACAGGAATTGAAATGGTTTAATTCATGTTCATAACATCTTGACAGTAACGGGACAGTAAAAACCTGTCCTGTTTGAAATTTGTGATGGTATAGATACGAAGTTATACAGTACTCCAGTTATCCCCCCCCAGCTGCTAGGCTACTTACCACACCATAATGAACTGTCCTATCATCCCTATGACAGCTGTCGTCCAGCTGCAGCATTTGTGTCCCTTCAGTGACCTCCTCTGGGTGGCCCAGCTGCTTGAATCCTCCCCTGTACTAGAGATGGGGAGTCTTTTTTCTACCGTTTTCTACCGAGGAACTCGCCTCCCGTCAGATTTTTAATCTTTGGTATGTTAATCATCAAGGAAGGGTAAAAGGCATATATATTCTTATGTGCCTTAACAGGCATTTTTAAGAAACGTAAAATGTTTTTTGGGGGTTGGGTTGTGATGAACTTGATGGGATACAAAGATACTCTCTGATTAGTAGCCTGTTACCACCTTTTGATTGACTTCATAAGGAAGCATTTGACCCAGCTCTGTCATGACATTTTTGTGTGCTTAAATTTAAGATGAAATACAAAAGCAAATAGGCTTTCAGTACTCCATTTTAGAAAACAGAAAATCAGGATTTTTGTAGCTGAGGGTTCCTATTTAACTTGCAGAACATTTTTTTCTTTTTAATTTGCTAAAGACCAACAGCTACATTATCTGGCATGGCTAATAAAAACATATTAAAAGTAGTTACAAGTATGATATCTTGTAAAAATCTGTAACATTAGTACTTTCATACTACTAGCTAAAGGGGAGTAAAGGTCTATTTTTGAAACTATTAATTTTACATTTTTAAAACAAATTACAAGAAATCTGTAGTTATATATTTTTATGTATTTGTTTATCACTAATTGTAAATTACTCTTAATTTTCTCAGGTGTATGTATAAATAAAAAATGTAAAATTATTAAACATTTTCAATTTATAATAATACCAAATCCAAGCTGTGGGTGATTGTGTTCCACCGACACTGGAGACAAGAACTGTTTGTAGGTTCAACATTACTGAAGAGGGCAAAGAAACTATCATCCACTTTTTCCTGTGCTGAAACATGGAAGGTCAGATCATCCACCGTCCCCTCAGTTGCTTACACAGCCATCTACCAGGAGTTAGAACATCTACTCTAGCTGTGTTCTTCAAACTACATCTCATTTCCCTGTCACCCTTAGCTTGATTTACCATTTTTCATATTATGTTACTTTGTCCTTCAACCTGTTCTACATATTGGCACATTCTTTTTTAATCTGGGTGTCCTTCAAGTTGCAGAGACCATTCTCTCCTGAACCTACTTTATGGGAATTGTAAACTGAATTCCAGAAACAGGTCTGTCTGCTGATTTCTACTAATATGGCAGGCTTTTTGTTTGTTTGTGTTTCTTTTTGAACCATAAAATGTGGCTGTCTAGGTGCCAAGACCCTCAAGTCCATTGACGAGGTTAACTCCACTCCTCTGCGGCTCTGAGGTAAGAAGAACCTGTAGTTACAGGATAGGTGGAACACTCATTTTGTTCCAACACCTGTGTTCAGCTTGTGATTCTCTCTGTTATCTCAACCTCACTGCTAAAGAAATGCTTATGGGCATGAAAGTTCTACTAGGCTGAACAGAAGGGCTTTCATTCTGGCATTTTGAATGAAGTTTGTGTCTCAGTCACTGGTGTCCTACACTTTGTTCTCACTGAAGGAGTTTATTTTCATCAGTCTGCCTAGGGGTGACATCCACCTATTACCCTCTTGATGAAGTCTGCTTGATGTGTGTTCACTTAATAGTCCTGTGGCATTCTGGGCTTGATGAGGGTTCTCGCAGTGTTCCCAGACAGATCTCTAATGAGAGCCGAATCAGATTCTATTCAGATCACTTGTCTGAAAGTAACTCTGAAAGTAGCCACGTGCCTTGTTCTGTACCTTTACATAGTGGTGGTTTTCATCCTGGCCATAGAACTAGAAAGACAGAAGATACCCAAAATATTATACAGTTATCTTACTCAGTATCCTAGAAGGACCTATTCCAGTTAAGTTTTTGTTGCTGTTTAATTTGAAGCAGAAAATTTAACCTGTTTTCCTTTCAGTAGCCTCAAATCTACAGGAGAGAACCTTAACTGCAAATTAAAGATGCAAAAAGTCGTTACTCTAGGCACCACCCCAGCCTTTCAGATGACCTGCGGAGCTGTGTTCTGTTGTGGAGAGGCTCTAAGTAGTGAGCAAGTCATTCTGAAATGAATGGTGTGTCTTTAAGTCTACCAAGATGGAGCAGCCTTTGGAGGTGAGGTTGGAGCATCTGCCACAGCTTGTGATGTGCAGCTGCCCAGAGAACAAACAGACTGATTGGCATCTTGAAGAAATTTGCTTACTGATCATTAAGCCTCTTGCTTACCTATTACAAGAGCAAATTATTTTACATCCCCAGGAAATTTTTTATGTGCTGACCCCTTAAAATGGTACCTTTTAATTGATAATGAATTTGAAATGAGCTTTAAGTAATTAGATACACTTTTGCTGGCACTTCACCATCTCAGTTTTTGCTAAACAGAAGGACTTTAAGACTGCTGTAGAAACTCACTCATACCAACTTTTATTTAAAGTATGACAGTTTTTCCTGCTGCCCTTTGGTAAAGATAGTAAAGGTGGTAATACAAAAGTAAAAAATAAATGAGTTTGATAGTAAAGATAGTAATACAAACAATATATAAAAAAGAGAAATATTAACTAGTTTGTAGTTTTATAATTTCAAGAGATACATCATGTTGGACTGTGATGCACTTCATCATGCATGTGAAGTTTGGAAATTCAGTTGAGAGGTGTTAATGATCTCTGGGTATTCTGCCTTCACAGATACACATGGTGCTGATGGTAGAGAATTTAATTCCAGTTTGGCAATTTCATCATTCATAATGACATATTATCCTATTATGTATATGGGAACTACATGGCATGAAAAACCCCTCTAATGCTGGAGGAATCTCACTGCTACTGAATTAATTATTGCATGTCAGAAGGAATGGCAGATAAACCAGTGTTCAGATGGCTGAAAGTACTGAGCAGAAGTTGTATGAGTTTTCTTACACAACTAAGAAAAGAATCAAGTCAGCTGTGTTTAAAATCTCACTGTAATGAACTTTGCCAAGATTTTTGAGTACTGTTTTCATGTAAGCAGTGTTTTTTTTCTCTCATGTAACGGCTAATTTTATCTAAAACTAATTCAGTCGCTCTCATCTGGTTTTGACAGGAGCATTTAAACTTGCTTTCCTGTCAGAATAAAGTAAAAAAGGAAACTACTGAGTTGCTGTTTCAGCCTGCTAGCTTCTTTTTGGTGTAGTCTCTTGTTGCAAGTTCCTTCTCCCAGACCCAGTATTTCCAAGATCAGGGCACAGCACAGGGGCTCAGCAGTCAAAAAAAAGGTAAGAACCCTTTTTTTTCTTTTGCCAGTCAGTGGGCCATAGAATTGAGGGAATTTTGTGTTCTTACTCGTCCAAGCTAAAAAGTACAGGCAAATTTTACTTTTCAAAGAAACAGGTATGGCAGCACTGCAGATTGAGTCTGGGAGTATGGTAGTACTCAGACCCATTAACTGGGCAGCATTTTAGTTTAAGGTTTTATAGGCAGTGGAGGCAAGTTCAGCTGGAGAAAAGAGGTGGAGGAGGCTGTTTTGGGTTAGTGTTTGTATAGGTTATCATGGCAAGGGTTGTAGGCTGGCAAGAAAGAAATCAATCTAACAAATGTTGATAAGTAACGTGTTGAGAAAGGGAAAGGTTTGGGATCTGCCCAGCCAGCAGGAGCCAAGAGGCTTTTCTAAGGCTGGGAGACCACTGACAGTTTCTGGAGGGAAACATGAGAACTTCCTACAGTGCAGGTTTTACAGTGCAGTAGCTGCTAAACCTGTGCCTTAGCATGTGTAAAAGTACAATTCCAAGATGCTTTTCAGTGCAGCTCTCATTCTGGGATAAAGTTTGGGATTTGTGTAAGTTCTGAAGGACTATGTATTGGTGTAGAATGTTAAAGCTGTAGCATACTCATGCAGGCTGATAATGATCATTGTTTCAGCAGCTTCAAACTCAATAGTGTATACAGTCATGTCATTCTGCAATCTGTTGTTGAAAGCAAACTACAGCAGTGACATTTCTTATGTTTCTCTCCTTAATGGTTAAAATACCTGTTTTTTTATGTTCAGAATCACTTACAGTACCTGACGTCAACTCATCCGGGTTTCTTGCAGAAAAAGAAATAAACCAATGAACTAAGAGAAATTTGAAACGTTGTCTTTATCCAGGCTGGCTTTGAGTATTTGTTTAGCTCAAGTAACTTACTGAATAGTGCAGTAAACCAGCCAACCTGGTCTGCTTCTATTTTGCTTCCTTTTCTAAGGCAGTGTGTGCTTTCTGTGCTTCTGCCAGGGAATGCTTCAGTTGCCTTTGTGTTACTGTGATTGTACGTGCTAGAGGGGTCTCCAAGAGAATTCACAATAATTTGTTCTCTATCTTTAATACTTTCACGAAGGTCTCTTGCGTAATACTGCAAATATTGATAAAGGCATTGTTGCCTGTGATAGAAGTATTTTATAGAGGATGAAAAGAAACTAAAACCACAAAGTCAGCAAATTCCTGGGCATGTGCTTCATTTTCAGTTGTGAGCTATCCCATTTAAGTAAACATACAGTTCTTGCTGTTTTCCTTAGTCCTTTATGTAAGAATTCTGTTTTACAGGCTGCACACCTGTTTTCTGATGTTTCTTCCCTTTTTAGTAAAGGAAACAGGATCAAATATGTCTCTCTACAGCATTTAATAGTCTTGTCAAGCAAGAAAAGAGCAAATTTAACATTTATGGTGTACTTCTCTGTGTGGTCTAGAGGTTTCTAAGGCATACAGATAGTGTTTCTGCATCCACATAAACCCTGATTTGTTCAGCTTGTTCAGTGGCATTAAGATGAATCTGCTTAATAGAAATTTGAAAAATGGTTTACTGCATGCGTGGATTTCTGCTTAGCTGTGCA